TTGGTGGCCCCTGCTTCGCCGGGGGGGTTGGACTGGGTGACCCACAGAGGCCCCTTCCAACCCCTACCGTTCTGTGATTCTGTGAAAAAGCACAAGAACTGATATAAAACTGTGAAGCGAGCGGCTGGGACCCACGGAGAAAGCTGCAGCTCAGTGACAGCAGATGGAGCTGCGGCATAGCCAAACCCTGCTGCAGGAACACGCGGGGCTGCCCACGGAGCCGCTGGGTCCCACTCAGCAAGCGCTTCCCTTCACTGGCCTTTACACAACACACGTGCAAACGAGTCAGAAACCCCACAGACTGTGTCAAGTATACTTTACAACTCCAGTCATCCAGAGTTTTTTTTCTTTTTTAAGTCAGATTTCATTAAAAAGTTGAACCAGAAAATTTCTTTTCCACCCTTATGTAAAAGGAATGAGACAAAAATCAATTACTTTTGCAACCAGACTTATTTAAAATAGACCACAACAGTAAAAGGAAAAAATCCATTTAGTATCCATTTACAATACCTTAACTGTTGGTTAAAAGTAATAATGGTAACAATATACTAGCATATATGAGGTTTTTCTAATTACAGTTTCCATAATTACAATCATTGCCAGGATGTCAGCAGTAAGTACAAGGTCCTCAGCAACCCAATGCCCTTTGAATTTGGCCCTGCTTTGAGTGTGAGGTTGAACCAGATGACACGCAGAGTTCCCTTCCAAAACTAAACTATTGTAGGATTAATCCAAACCAGTTACACAGCCTAAAATTTTAAGCTTCTGTAAAGAGGACTACCTAGCAAGTTTGGTTAAAGTCAGAATACAGTCATCATCGGCAATAAAACAGCGATGTTTTACAAATGAAAGTATCATGTACATGGAAGAATGACGCAAAATCAGTCCTTCTGATACTAATAAAATGGAGGATACAAATAGAAAAAGGAATACTGGAAACAGTAATTTATGAGTAAGTTTCAGGGAAACTTTTGTCAGCTGAGGTAGGCAGGATGGGAATGCTCTGGAGAGCTGGAGGTGTGAGGCAAAGAACGCGAGCAACAAAAGTTCAGTTCCATGTACACAAATCTTCATGAAATTTGTGTGGTTAAAAAGGGGAATCACCTTCTATTTTCCTGCACATCTTTGAGTCAAAAGACTCCCAGAGCTCTTGGGGAAGGCGCACACGTACGCAACAGACAGCTCAAGAGGCAGCCAGCTCCAGACAGAAGGCTGCAGCCGCTTCCCACACCACGGCCACGGCTGTGAGAACGGCACGCTCCGAGCCCGATTCAAACCGGCAGCAGGCAGCGCGGGCTGCTGTGCCCAAGAGGCTGAGGAGAGCTCCAGACTGAAGGCTCCAGCCAGCAGCTTTGATCCTGTAGCTCGGGGAAACCTTCTGCAGTGACGTGCAGCTCATCAGCTCAGGGCAAGGAGCTTTCTCTGGACTGGTCCACTGAACAAATCTGGAAGGACCAAAACCCACCTCACTGCCTTCCGCGCAGAATACACGGCACACTGCTCTGACTTTACCTTACATGTGCACATGTATCATGTGCTTATGTTGAACTCTCAAAGACAACTTAGGGTGTTTTTTTGTTTTTTTTTTTAACATGCTTTTGTGTTGCTTTAGAAGTCCATTTAAAATAAAATAAGCCACTGGCACACATCTCCCCTGGGGAGGAAACAAAGAACAGCACAGCAGATGGTAGTTATTCTACAGATGTTATTCGGCTTAATATACTCCTGGAAGTATGCAGGAACTATAGCACTGTGTAAAGCATAAAGACAAAACAGGACACGTGGGCTAAAGCCCACTTCCTTCTCAACAGCATCTTAAGGTCATCAGTGACTACAGAGACAGGACAGCAAACCCAAGCCTTTACCAAAAAAAGACTAAAATTCATGGAGTAGCTTCCAATCAAAAGCATTTAATGTTATTCAAGGTGGTGAATCAGCACCTGATGGTTTTATGCTTTTGAGCTTCTGGCAGTATCGCCAGTGTCTGACAGCCTTTCTGTCACGCCTCGAATTTCAGCCTTCTAGGCAATAGCTTGATTTTCCCAAACTTGGATATTCCATTTGAAAACAAGTCAGTTGTATTACTAGTGAGAAGCCTGGGGGTTTAAGAGGCACACTCCACGCCCCTCCCAGCGCTCATGGAGCTGTTTTGAGTGCTCATCCTGTCTGAATTATTTCCTGAGGACAGGAAGGCACAGGACAGCCTGAGGATATCCTCCTGCGTGAACAGCAGTGTGGGCACTAGCCTCTTTGGGATTTCACCGATGTGTTTTCTGTTCCTGGTTTTACCCCTGACAGGCTGCGGGACTTCAGTCCAGTTAACTGGCCCTACTAGTTTTCTTTCCTCTTTAAAAAAAAAAAATCTTTGCTTCCTCCATTTGAGTGCAGGGACTGCCTTGCTATCTTTGCAGAGC